TATGGCGACTGCTCGTATTTGCCTTTGTCCTGTAGTCCAGAACTCCTGCAGACTTCCGTCCAATGTTACTTCTTCATGCTGAAAAACGACCCGATTGCGCTGTATCCAGAGTGTTGTTATGCAGATACTGCAGAGTATTCTCCACAGCCGTTTCCAAACTATTGCGTACTGAGAGGCCTCATCTGGGTAGAGATTTCGTAGCTTTTCTGTGATCGTTTTGGACAGTTCTGGAGCTTGTCTACTTGCACAGTTCTTTTGGAAGTTGTGTAGAGTAGCCTGGGTCCAACATTCCCTGTCCATTGGCAGATGAGGTTCTGCCAGCATACTTGAGCACATGCACAGTCCCAGAAGATGTGCTCCAGTGTGATTTGGCTGTAAAGTTGCACTTGCTTGACGACGAACCTTTAATGGAGCAGCTTCAACAACTTATGCAAAAATTACGCTGCCTCAGCAAAGCTGCTGCGCTCAGGTAAGAAATCAGTATTACCGGTATTACGGTTTTCTTACTAATTTTATTTTATTTATTTATTTTAGGAGAAAAACTGATTTACGGCCAGTTCTTCGCCAAACAACAAGATGGACGTCAACGTTCAAGGTGATTGACCGATACTTAGCAATCCGGTCTGCCTTGGACACCGATGACGACGACGACGTCGTGGCGTTGATGCCAACGCGCAGGCAGGAGAAGCGTCTACAGGAGCTGCGGTCCGACCTCGGCGACTTTCAGTCCGTGACGATGAAGCTTCAGGAGGACCACTTGACGATTCTCGACGTGCGTGATACCTTCGATGCTCTTGTCGTGAAACACCCAGTGGTTGACAAGTACCTTGCGGCAGACGCTTCTATAGTTAAGAGCCCTGCTTTGGAGGAGGCATGTGTTCTGAAGTTGGCAGGAAAGGATAGCGAGCTGACGGGCGAGCAGGAGTTAAAGCTGCTACCGTTCGAAACGGTGCCAGCAGCGGACACAGGCAGTGAAGACGCGGGAACTGCACGACCCCAAGGATTCGCGGACCAGGTGCTGGAAGTGCGAAAGAAGCAGCGCACGGCCCGGAAGAAGTTTCGCGGAGTCGAGTACATCCCGCCGACATCCAATACCGTGGAGAGGCTTTTCAGCATCGCGAAGCATACGCTGTCACTTCATCGGCACGGTATGCTCCCGATGCACTTGGAGACCGTGCTGTTTTTGAAGCTGAATAGGCGCTATTGGAAAGCAGCCACCGTTGCCAAGGTGGTTCATGCTCAGTTAATTGATCTTGCTGTGAGCTCGGGGTAGCGGCAATACATTTTCATTACGGACAATAGCTTATTTTGCGTTCCTTCACGTTGGTAACAATTACTTATTTTCTTGTGATGCAGCAATTTTATTGCAATAGTATTATCGGAGGGTCTGTCTCCATATTCTACAGGGAGAGTAATGCGTTTTTGGCGGTATAGATCTTTTATTGCACTGCAATATCCACTCAGAGTGACTTGGCTCGACTCCTTTAATACACCATATTTTTTAAGAAGAACATGGGGGTGAACTCAGCAAAATTTAAGCCGTCGCTGGAGTAAAAAAATCTCGCAGTGGCGTGGTCTTTTTTAAAAGGTTCTTCATGATCCACTTCGTGATTCCATTGATATTGTCGACGTACTTCTTTCTGGTCTTCGAGGCAATGCACGCGCTGCGTATTGCGGCGGCATCAGCATTCGCCGCCACAGCTTCTCGCAGAAGTCCCTCAATTAATCCATTAACAGATGCCTCTTCAGCGCATTGTAAGCGTCTAGCCGTCGCTCTGTTCTTCCTCGTTCTGAGCTTTGAACGTTCAGCTCCAATTTCAGCCAGTTATACTAGCGCCATATCATCAGCGATCTGCGCTTACGTTTTCGCGGAGAAATTCGATCTCAGAATTCCTTTACACTGTACTAAGACCCATCATTTCGGAGTCGGAGAACACGATCATTAGGGAAATGATAAGCCAAGTTTACGGGCTGGCGAACTCCCTAATACAACTTACGCAAGTTAAAGAATGATGGTTGAAGCTAGTGTGTGCAAGATACGTGTAGATAAAGTTTGGTACACAGATACATACAGTAGATACACACTTTTCAACTGTAGGCATACAACATGCAACAACCTCTGACATATTATCAAAGATCATCATCTTCGCTATCGGCATCCTGAACATCTAACTGATCTGGAATGGAATCCAGGTCGTTAGTATCGTCGAACAAGTCGATATCATCCAGTTCTTCACCAAAGTAGTCGTACGTGTCCACTGAGTCGAGTAGGCTGCTGTTGATGTAGTTGAACTCCAGCTTTTCCATTGTGACAGCATTCATTCGGTTCCGTCGCTTCGACCACAGAAAGGAGTACACACTCCACACTCGTTCTGCAGCAGCCGAGGACGTTGGTACACTCAAAACTTTGATGGCAATTGGCGCCAGCAATGGAAACATCATGCGTCCGCAATGGACCCAGTACTCCAGTCCTGGCAACTTCGTGTACTTTTCGTAAAGGTCGCTCGGGGAGTTGAGCTCGAGAAGAATGTATGCGGATAGCTCATCGTTGCAGGTTGTCTCCAGATTTGGATCCGTGTAAAACAATGGTATGTAGTCGCGCAACTGCTCTGTCGTGTCCATCTTGTCTGTTGCGTCCCACGTCATGGTCTGGGATTTGGATGTGAGAAGATATGCACGAAGCACCAGCGTTTAAGGACGATGTCCTTCAAACGATTTCCGATATCATCGCCATGCCAGAGCGACGCCTTTGTAACCCATGTATCTTTGAGACGGATGAAGCAGTAGTACACTTGAAAGAGATCTCCTCCATCCTTTTCGAGCTTTCCAATCTGCTTCGACGGAAAACTGAGTAACCTTTTTAGCTGCAACAGCTTGCGCCAGAATGCGCCCGAGTTGGCAATCCGTCGGAATGTGTTCACGGCATCCTTGTTCTGTATTTCTTTGAGAATGTGATCACAGCCTGGCACTGCAAGATTGCGAACAGCCAGCTTCGCCTTGTACAGGTTTTCACAAGCATTGAAGTGGGTATACCACCTCGTCGGGCAAGGTAAAGTGAGACCTTTTTGAATAGTCAAAACGTCACGGAGTCTCTTGAACTCAGCGACGACCAACTTGTGGTCGTTGAAAAACTTGACCAGGACGTTTAAGTCGGCAAGGACAGCGGCGAACTCAGGGATTTTACACACGTCTTTAATCAATAGATTTAAGACACGAGCACCGCATCCATTGGCAAAGATCGTTGGGTATTTCTTCTCAATAATTGCCCACGCTCCGCGCATGTTGGGGGCGTTGTCAGTGACCACCGAGAGACAGCGATCTGGACCAAATTCCTCTATCACTTCCAAAATACCGGCAGCTATGTTCTTCGAGGCTTGCACAACTCCACCTGTGCTTACTGATTTCAGGAAAAATGGCTTGAAGCCTGGAACAATGACGACGTAATTAACGATATGCTCGTTTGAGTCGTTTGACCACCCATCGCTGACAATTGAGAACCACTTTGCTGACCGAATGGCTTCTCTTACACGCGACAACAGTTTGTTGTAGGTCGAATTGAGATGTTTTCCAGCAATCGAACGCGCCGATGGCATGATTTCAACGTAGGATGGCCGTAGAAGTCGAATGACTTTCTTCATGGCTTCTGAATCTATGACTCGAAATGATATCCCAGTACGGAATACCAGATCTGCAATTGCAGCGTCGATATGAGCGGCATCAGCTTTTGAGATGGCGTCCAGAAAATTAGCCGTCGTCTGGAGGAAGAGGCGTTTCTTATGCGGACGGTGTTCTTCTGGCGGATAACATCGTGTCGATCGCGTTAATGAAACTGGACGGCGGAGATACCATTGATGAACACGTTGTCGTAAGATGGCGCTGGAAGAAGGGTAGACTTGTACTGTAGGGTGTTGGGCAGAGCAGATCGAAGAATGGCGCTTCGGAGATGGTATAGACATCTTGGTGAAGCTCGCTATAAGTGAACAAAGTCGTCTTTAAATGTGCTATCCCGCAATACTCAAGCGCGCTTCAGATAACCTACTTATAGATGAAGCATGTCGACACCTTCAACATCTTATCCATAGCTGAAATCCTTCCTGGTTGAAGGAGCTTTGAGTGCAAGATACACGTTTCCGAATTTTAGTACACACATACTTTACGTATTCCTACGCGTACTCTAATCTACATGTATCTGTAGATGCGCACACTAGTTGAAGCTCAGATAGTAAGTTCTATTAATAGAAGATTTACAGCTTGCTGATGCAAACCAAAATGGTTAAGGAATTAGAGTTAGTGCGAACACCCCCCTTATGAGCTTTCTCAGCTGCGATCGCTCACTGAGCGATAAATTAAAACTGCCCTTGCAGCCTCAGCCGAACGATTACTGATTCGAGCTCTATATACCATCCTCCAGCTCACACCAACGGCTCACGACAATAAGTGTGTTTGCTACGATGTGATTGAGCGAGTATTGAATATACTAGTAAAACGCTTATAACAATGCCGCCACCGAACCAGAATCACGGTTCTGATAATTTCTCAGAACCCCTAAGAATCAGGAACTGGGTTCTGAGAATTTCTGGATTCGGAGTTACCGCGACTTTTCAGCAACAGGTTCTCTTTCTCGTGGACAGTTGCAATATGTATTTGAAACTGTGGCTGAAGTTTCACATTTTCAGCTCATTAAAATATGCGAAAAGACACATGAACCAAATAATATTTAGTTCATGTGTCTTTTCCAGTATCACCGATATATTACATGTATATCGGTGATACTGGATCATACCGAATCCGTCTGAAACCAAAAACTGGATTAAAGGCGGTTTTTAAACCCATAATTTAAGGCGTGGATATCCGGTTGCAACTGCAAATCCTGATGCATTTCGGTTGCAACTAAAGGTCACTAATACTCATGCCTTCCAGTCGACTTCGCTTCTTGTGCAAGTGCTATTAGTCTCAATTCTCAACTCGAATCTTCAGTGATCGCTTTTTCATTTTTGTTTCTACTCACTATCCAGCTCTTTATACGACTGGAGAACATCAGTGCCGTCTACTACGAGAATTTCGTTCCGCACTCCGACTTCGACGTCGCCTTGAGTGCCGCGACGAGCGATGTTTATCCGACTTTCGGTCTTTTTTGTCCTTTTTCTTGTCCTTATCGTCTCGCGACGAGCGGTGTTTGTGGTGTTTCTTATGTTTTTTGCGCTTCTTCTTTTCTTCCTCTTTCCATCGTTTAGCTTCTCGAACGGAGACATTGTCAACACTCCCGGATCTCTTCCTGCCTCGCGTATCCTCATTCTTTCCTTCTTCACCGGATAAACTCGAATCCTCTGAGCTCAATTGACGTCGTTGACCTTCAACTGAGTTACGCGTCAACAATAAAGTCTTCGAAGTTGATCTAGCTGAATTTTCCCGTTGTTTCGCTTCACTTTGCACCTCATTGCGTTCTTCATCGTCACTTTCGTCTTCGCTGTCATCCTCACTAAGTTCCGACTCGTCCGAAGGTTCAAAAATGGATTTGAGCAAGTCTGTCGAAGCCTTTTCAACTGTTGGCAGTGCAGGTAGATCTCTGTCCTCGTCGACATTGGACTCGACCGCTATTGTAAACTTCGAGCTCTCACCTGCACTAGCCTTTGACTGCCGTTGAGCAGCTCGATCGGCTGCAAATTCCATCAAATGCGGAACAATCTCCTTATCAAACAAGTCTGGCTTTTTATCGTCTTCATCACCCTTTCCGCTAGATCCTGTGGGTCCGGCACACTTAACGTGGAAGCGTTTGCACAGAAGTGACTTGGGAATCCACAAACTCTGCGACCTCCGCGACAGCTTAGCTTGAGGTTGTTCAGGAATAATTGCGTCATTTTTATCCTCGTCCAAAGTCGATTTTGACGACACAAATCTCTTTGCAATAGACGCAGAGATAGTAGCCCGAAACCCGACAGTCAT